GTTTTTGTATGTGTTTTCAATGAGAATAATGAAACGATATTCTAATATGTAATAATATCTAAAATGATAAGGCCACGCCTAAATTCCATTAAAATTTTGACGTCCAATATATAAGCTTACGACGAAATGTTCAAAATTGTTTTCTAGAATTCGGCCGATAGGATACAGTGTAGTGGGTTTTAGGTATTTTAAGTTATAGTTTATTTTTTAAATTACCAAGTATGTGAGTAGTCAGCATTATTAATGTGGAGGTTCTAATTATTATGTAATTGAACCATGCATGCAAAGATAAATAGTGAATGTTTAATAGCCGTATCTAATTGAATTCTGTTAGTTCAGTGCAATCTAAATGTCCACTATTATGTACTTTGTATTAATTTGTTTCTAAATAAACAATTGAACTAAAATTTTATGACCATCAAATAATTTGATTAAATACATATCTTATACATTTTGAGACCAAAAATGTAGATAAAAACGCTATTAGAGAATAGTTATAGACATTCTAATTAATATTTATATATTTATTCTTTTTTCGATATATTGCAAAATGTGTTAGCTACATTTCATGAAACGTAATATAACTGAAAACTTCAAATGCGTTTTAAATAGTAACGTAGTAAAAGTGTTTTAAGTCCTACTTCTGCATTGCTACTATTTTTAACTAGAAGAGTGAATAAATTAAAAGTAAGAAGGAAACACTTCACTTTCATGCTCAGCTTATTGTGGTAAACGAAAGCACGGGGCTTAAAGCGCAGCTTTTATTTAGAAATACTGAAACAAAGTGCAAACTTTTACAAGTACAATTATTTTTTTAATTTTATTTTAAAATAATTAACAATTTGCACTTGTACTTACTTTTGCAATAAGAAAATTGATCACATAAATGTGCTTTGTACTGAGTCATTTGTATATATTATATAAAAAAATAATTAATAGGTAGAAAGTAAAAGGTTAGCATGGTATGGGTATGTTATGAGGAGGGATGAATCGCATGTTACAAGAAGAACGCTAGTTATGAGTGTGGAAAGGTACATCGGTAGAGGTAGACCTAGAAAGAGATGGATTGCGTAAAAGGTGACATGATCAAAAGGGGAGTGATGACTGAGATGACGTATGATAGAGTTATGTGGAGGACAAAAACCTGTTGCGCCAACGCTACGGGAGTAGGATAAGGAGAAAGATGGTGATGATGATGTAATAAAAAGTATAAAGAAAATAACTACAATTTTTGTTCTTTGTGAAAATACTACAGGAATACTGTTGATATAAAATACGTAAACGATATGTGAGAATGTCTTTCGCACAGACGGCGTACGTAAACAAAGCTGGCTGAAAATCAGTGCTGCGGGTAGCCGCAATTTACACCGAGGGCGGACCTCTTTTGTAACGCCATAGTACGAAGCCAAGCAGAGGTAATATAATGTTTAACATATTATTATGAACTAAGTTAAAAGAAAGCTATTTGTTTATTTTATTTCTACAATATCATAGGGTATGAAATATATTTCAATAAAAATACTAGTTTTATTAAAAGTAATGTAAATTGTTTTAAATTTCGAATAAACCATATTTCGTTAAAACATTATCCAAGAATACATTTTTATCTGATTAATTTATCCGTCTTTTAGCTCGCCCCAATCACATTTTAAACTGCAATTGCAGTGTCCATCAAGTTAACTAGTTTAGCAATGCATTAATGGAACCCGAGCGCAAAGGGAGATCGGATCGAAAAGCGCACGAATGTGTGTACATTGTTACGAGACATGTCGCCACAATGTCGCCAAACTAAATGCACCCAATCCAATTCGAAAATAATTGTTTTGTTAATGCTTTACTTTGACAGCTAACATACTAAATGGTATTGAGAAATCTGGATTGGGAAGTACTTAGTGTGTGTTGCTTTGTATTATGCCATTAGTTAGGTAAATTTCATTATGTTCAAATACATATGAATAGTTATTTCCTTATATTTGGTTTCGTTTTGTTATTTTTTTAAACATGATATATTTGGTGCAGAACAGTGACAATTTTTAGTTCGCTATTTAAAATCCTTTTTTTTTTGCTTTATTGTTTTCATATTCGCCCTCTTGAATTATTCACTATCATGTTAGAGTTAATATCGAATAAGTTTCGCCTTGAAAAGATAAATGTGTGCAACGTGACCGCACACATATTGATGTTACGGAGTCTGTAAATATTATACGATGTGCGGAGCGTAAATGGGTTAAATATAATAAATATCATGTTCGAAGTAATTAAATAAAATTATTACCTTATATGTAAGAATTAAAAAAGGAAAGAAAGAATATTAAGCTATCTATGCCGTAGACAATTTAGAGAAAGAAGTACAAAATTCGCACGTTTGGTAATGAGAGGTGAAATTATAGTTCATGCTTTTAATGATAATTAAACGTTAACTTAGGAAAATTAAATTCGATATTCCGGCTGGCTTCAACATTTACGAGGAATATTACGATCATAACAAGCGGGTCTTGTTAATTTGCTAATTACCTGCTTTGATGTTTCTTCGAATTAACGGTTAGAATTAATAACCTATTTTAACAATAAAATAATGATAAGGCAGAGAAGAGAGTATAGGGAGGTTGAAATTACTTAAACATTATAAACATAACAATCAAAACGACATTTAGTAACAAGTTGGTGACTGTAACCGATCTCGCTGCTGGTTTTAATAACTAGTCCCTTGTACAAAAATATCAGAATCATCGGTTTACATATAAGTTGAAGAACAAAAATGTATCATAACATATCTATACTTCTTTACTTCTTTATCTTTACTTCTATACTAGTCTTTACTAGTATAATAAAGCGTAAACACACAATTCTTTGTTGCCTAAGATGTCAGCATACACAGCATATTTTCGAATAACTTTTTTTTTTAATAAAAAGCCCTACACGTCACGCTTTAGGCTATATATTTTCACGCTGTTAAACTTAAGGGTAAATATTTTGGATAAATACTCTAATGTGGAAAAGAGACCATAAGTTGTTGCCAACATCAAGGAAGCAAGGTTGCCATGGTTTGACATCATGTCATGTCATTTTGACATTTGCAATTGATAACTTGACAAATGTGAACAACAATATTATTTTTTTATAATTTATGCAGATGAAGTCGCATGGGAACAGCTAGTTTAGTATAAAATTACACTGAACAAATGTTTTTCGGTATTAAATTTTATTGAATACCGAAATTAAAACCTAGTTACAAACATGTGGTTAATGTTCATAGAGCTCGAATTTTAAGCTTCGAAAATAATTACGCATATTAATATTATTCAAAACAGAAATGCAAGTAATTTATTTGATTGATTCTCTATTTGTACATTCCTATCACATCTGCTAAATTAATTACTTAAATTTCGAATGCAATGTCCATCATTATAATTAGGTTAATAGAACATGAATTTACTTTGAATTTCTATAATAAAATAACTAAAAGTGATCACTTATATTTCTATTATAAATAAACGTATATTTAAAAAAGGTTTATTTCAGAAATAACCAAGCGATTAATTTCATTAACTCTTTAGTGTTTCTTATCATGATACTGCGCATTAAAAACATATTTCTTTGATAAGTTATATGAAATTAATTGAAAATCTCACTACAAAGTAGGAGTAAAAATGCAAAATTAAGTTCAAGTTACCTAAGCACGTTTTGTATGCAACTATGTTCATAAGGTGTATATCTTCACGGCGACCGATTTAACTGATTTTCATTGTAGAAGCTACAAGTTAATTTGCCCGATGATACGAGTATTTACGCCATAACAGTGAAAGAGAATTGTAAAAAAAATAAAATAAAACGAGAACTTATTAAAAACCGTATATGGTCAGAATTATTACAGCGTGCTTATTTTTGTTCGACTTAGAACAATGGATCTAAATGATGGATTGTTACAATGTTTTAATTCCATTTATGTAAATATAATGAAATGGTCGATATAGTTGAAATATATATAGTTATACTACAGTTATGCTTTAATTATTTCTCGTAATATTTAGTCAATGTTATTGTGGAATAATATTCCATTTAGAAAGAACCGTAAGTTGAAAATTATTTACGCAAAATCATCTAATTAACTTTGACATGTTATTAAAATTACAGTTTTTTTCGTCACTTATTTTGAATGTGGAGTATTGAGATATTTTTTATACTTTTAAAATGATGCAAGATATGGACCGTTGGTATCTTTCATCTGTAAAACTAAATTATAGCGAGAGTAACAACAAACGTTCTAAACGCATAATAACCTACTCTATGGTAAACACAATGTTGTCTTTTGATGCAGTGTTTTGTAATACTTTTTAATGCACGAGGGCATTATTTAATGAAGTACATTTCCCAATATTCTCTGATTTAACCGTAAAATGGAATCTGGTTACACACAAATTACTATAATAGTTGCAACGTGATAATACCAAAGACCAAGAGAAGACTATTACGGTAAAATATGGGAAACTGTTACGAATCCGGCGATAAGATTAATGAAACTCATGTAGTAATAATTTACTTATAATTGGCATATTCGTGTATACGGCAGTGAAGTGGTGAGCGTCAGAGTGACAACAACCAACATGAAGTGTATGCTTTGTAAGTATTTTGTACTAGCCGTTTTTCGCGACTTCGTCTACTTGGATTAAAAAATAATAACAAAAATAGCTTTTATTACTCAGTGATAATGTAGCTTTTTAATTGTAAAGAATTTTTGAAATCGGCCCAATAGTTTTTGAGTTACTTAAATACATACAATTTAATTTTAACATTAATGGACGACAACTGACACAAATCTTAAACACTTCGCTTTGTAAGTGCTGCTTACAATCTGGCAGTCGTCAAATTACGTAGAAACTATACATGTTAATGGAAGCGTCTCAGTATTTCGGTGGTAAAATTTCGCAACGTACCTACATATCAAAAGATTTTAAAATCTCAATTTAATTTTGTTTCCTATTTACAGTAATATTGTCAGCCATCGTGGCGATGGTCCATTGCAATGAGGATGCGGCGCTTTTATTGAATGGAAATACAAAATTAACAGCCAAGTTGTTCTCTGTAAGGAATATTATTTACAACTTCAGATAAAATTCATTCACATTTAATGAACTTTTATCATGTAATTAATTTCAGGAAGTTGCGAAAAATAACACCGAAAAGAGTTTTGTGATGTCTGCGTTTTCCTTACTAACACCTCTAGCGCAACTCTCCCTTGGCGCGGATGGAGCCACTTACGATGAACTTCTTGCAGCAATCGGCTTGCCGAATGATCAGTCGGTAAGAATAAATTAAAACTAATAAAATAAAGATTAAAAAATATAGAGTTATTTGAAGGACACAATCTGTTGCGCCGACCCTACGGGAGCAGATTAAGAAGGAAGATGATGATAATGATGACTTAGAATATTACTACAAATTACATCAATTTTACAAATAAATCATAACTATGGGAAATCTATATGTATATTATTATATATTAGTAATATTTGTATATTTGGATGTTTGTATGTATTTAATTCACACAAAAACTACTGATCCGATTGTAAAAATTCTTTCACCATTAGAACGGTAATTTCTTCGTTAGTAACTTAGGTTAAGTTTTGCATTACTTTTAATTTCACGCGGACGAAGTCACGGGCAACAGCTAGTTCAAATGGAATGATTTTAATCAGATTTAGTTGCAACAAACAAAAACGCCCAAAGATATCTCATAGAATTCTGTTTAAATTATAATAATTTAAATTTCCAGACAATAAATGCTTTTACGGAAATGAAAACTAAACTAGGTTTATTACCAGGAGCTGAATTAAAAATAGCTAACAGAATTTACGTCAGTGCAGAACATAGGCTTGATAAAGATTACTCGGCTATGACACGACAGATCTTCGACTCGGAAGTTACAAATGCTGACTTTACACAACCGGAAAAGACAGCGACAGAAATAAATAAATGGGTAAATAGAATTAACTCCTATTTTTATAATATGTCAATTTGTTTTTTCTTTGACTATATATCTTGATAAGAAACGTTTTTGTTCCAGGTGGAAGACCACACAAACCATCATATCAAAAATTTAGTAGATCCTAATAGTTTAAATAAAGACACAGTAATATTACTTCTTAATTCTGTTTATTTCCAGGTCTGATTTTAATCAAAAGTGTTGATATGTAATCATTTAATAAGATAATGTTTGGTTTTATCTTTCTTTTAACAGAGCGCGTGGCAAATGCCGTTTCCAAAGGTTTTAACACATGCACAAGACTTCCATGTAACAAAACATAGTACGGTAAAAGTGCCGATGATGCAAAGGAATTCAAAATACAAATTCGGTAAAAGTGAAGAGCTTAATTCATCGGTATGTTCGTTATTCTTAATTTTATGATAAAAATCTGATTGTATAATATCCGACAAATTTCGTGACAAAAATCATAGACCGTGTAATAATGTTGAAGATACTATCGTTTACTTCTACTTTCAGATAATTGAAATACCTTATGTAGATAATAATTCAGCACTTTATATAATCCTTCCCAATGAAATAGAAGGAATTACTCACCTTCAAGCTAAATTGAACGATCCTTCTGTCTTAGAAAAAGCTTTGCAAGAAATGCAACCAGTTTATATAGTGGTACAAATACCGAGATTTACAATTGAAACCAAAATAGACTTGAAGGAAGCGTTACCACATGTGAGTAATGTTGCGTTCTTATTTAAGACAATCTTATCTTATCTCATTAATATTATAAAGTCTAAAGAGATGGATGAATGTTTGTTTGCCGCCTAAACGGCTGAATGGATCTCAAATTTGGAATAGATGTAGGTTATAGTCTGGAAGAACGCATAGGCTACTTACTTTTACTTTTTTAATTCCACGAGAAAGAATAGCAAGCTTAAATAAAATACTAATTTATTATAGTAAGAGAATATCGTGAAATTACTAGAAAAAAGTTTCGCTGCACTCTAAAATGTTTTTAAATTGAAGATTATATTGTAGGTGGGCGTTACGAAAATTTTTAAAAGAAATGAATCTAACCTGTCTAAAATAATAAGCGGAAATAGAAATAGTAACTTATATATTGGTCAAGCAAGTCAAAAGGCATTTGTGGAAGTAAATGAAGAAGGTACTGCAGCAGGAGCTGCGAATGGTAAGAATATTACGAATACATCTGATTTATAATTATTATTTTTTGGGTGCAATCAAAAACCTACTCAAGAGCATTAAATCCATGTCACTTAAAAAACCTAAAAATCTCGTAAACTAAAAATGCTAGCTTTATTAAATAAAATGTTTTTTCGTCAATTAAATACTCCTCAAATTATTGTATCAACTCATTTTAACTCTCTATCACAGAGGTATAGGAGAATAATAACTTATATTCGTATGTGTAATTTATAGTTTTTTTTTTTATTTTAACTGAGCGGATTCTATGCTTTTGATTGTACTATGAAGTTGTCTTGCTAAAAATCCAAGGCACCTAAAATGTTTTAAAACTTAGAAAAAGCAAGCCGATGGTTCGGCGACGCTTTCGAGCCGAGCGATATATTGAGCCGATTCACACGTAATTTTTTTTGTCGTTGTAAATCATTTTTTTTTATAGAATTTAAGGCATTTATGACTGCTTCTCTTGGCCAGAAGTACTTTGTCGCAAATAGACCTTTTGTTTTCGACATAAGAGTTAATAACGCTCCAGTTTTTAGAGGGATTTATACTGCAACATAAATTGTTAGGTAAGTTACATAGTATTTTTTGTTTTTTTTTTTTTACATTTATATAAATTCTAATCAGAATTAATTAAACATGTTTGATATTTCCTTTTACAGTTCAGAGCACGTCTTCAACTTTCTAATAACTATAGTTAAGCCAATTTTATAGGTAACATTTGACGTCTATCAGTTTTAACTTTATAGTAAGTTAATCAACTTAAACATGGATTTAAGCGAACGAATCGATACGGACTTCAAACATATTTGAATTAAAATCAGTTATTATGAAAAATCGATGTTTTTGTAACGTGTATGGGTTTAAAATAAAAAAGGGTTCACTGACGCTCTATTGTGGTGGTCATCATGAAAATTAATATTTATTCCAGTAAGTTTAAAAAAAATTGATAAATTGTCAAATGTGGCCTATTAAATTCGCGCAACTATAAAAATTACCACACAATATACAATAAAAAAATTTATTTAACAAAACATTCTTAAAAATAATACCACTTCCGTCTCCTATACTTTAATCTTAATTCTGTGTAATTAAAAAAATAAAACGTAATTATATCTTCTGTTTCATTTCAATAATGTCTACACTACTATCCTTTTACATTTTACGTACTGTTCATTTAAAAAATGGAAAAATACATGCACAGAATTTGTTTTCTGCAATAGAGTATACGATAAAGGCTAGGACCTTAATTCAACGGTATGTATCTTTAATATCTTTCTTAAAAATTAGTGTTTATGACCATTTTTAACAGTACAATGATTTCCATTGAACCCTAATTTTAAAACGTTCTTGTTATTAGGACTCGAATAACAAGTTCCAGTGTGGGTCTACATTATTCTCTTTATCATCCCTGATTACGATAGCTAGACTGGATTGATACAAACCGGGTTTATTTTCCTTGTATTATTAAAGTCAAAGTGAATTATCAGAATAGATTTTAATTTAACCGCTAATGAAGTTTGAAGCATAAACTTCCATAAGCGTTAAATAATTCGAGCGCTATCGTCACTTGTTTGGGAAGTATTTTCAGTGCTCTTTTAACAAAAGCTCCGTTTTGAAGCTTCAAGGCACAAATACTGCGTGCATCGCTGTCTCACGTCGAGTGCGCTCTAAATGAGACTACGTACTTATACTGAGTGCGTCTGATTGTTAAGCACAGCTCTTACACACTCTTACAAATTCTAGATACGCTCGTATGTTCGCTACTATTATTACTTGGTATTTGTGTTAAAATAATGAGCATTAAGTTATCTGTGCCTTGTTTTGCAGAAATCTATATATCTCTTAATATATCAAGTTATCTATTTATAGTTTTATCTCTTACTTTTAAGTTTACTTCGATTTTTGTAGTAACCTAGTTATTTTAATTCAAGTCAAGCGCCAAAAGCTTAATGGTTTGGGGTACGGACTACCGATTTGCGGTCGAAGGTTCGAGTCCCGCCATTCGCTTATTATCCTGAACCATATCCTAGCACAAGTCTAGAGCTTAGTTGGAAAGGTTAAAGGAAATATTAGTAAATTAACAAAAATTTACTAATATTTTACAATAATAAAAAAAAAAAAACAAATTAAGATAACGTTAGCAATATCGGTTTTAGTTTATTCTTATCGATATATTGAAATTGAATCAAACTAAGTATAATAGAATTGTCATTATTTTAATACTTTTGTCAATAATAACTGGCAGACGTGATTTTAAGAAGCGGTTCGGACATAAAGGACCACATTAGTTGATAACATTTTCCTTTCATGTCACACAGGCGAGAGTGGATTTGTCATAATTTGGCTTTTTAATTTAGCAAGAAGTGTAATTGAAGGATTCTTAAGATCTCTTTAAATGTTACTAGAGTTTTTTTATATAATTTTTGTACGTTTATTTAGCATTTGGTATGTTGGATGACTTTCAAATACTTACATTGTTCTGTATGAAGCTACAAAAGAAATATAATCGCTATACATATAATACTTACTTATAAAAAAGATTTCCTCTTTTATCACGAATAAATGTAATTTATTGGGAAAAACAGTATCCTTTTTCTTTATTTATTTATCTATCGTGTTTCCGAAAACCAACATTTTAATTTTCTTTCGCAATCCACCCTACTGAAAATGGAGGCGTCGTTTTTAAGGTGAATCATTTGTTTAAAAGTTTGAAGTGGATTAAATTTCCTTCGCCGAGTGCCCGTTTCAGTCAGTTCATTAGGTTAAATTGGTAGGCTGAATAACAATGTTCATGAATTTTCAATTACAATCAAAGAGTTATTACTGTATACCTATTTGTGTTCAAAACAATAGAATATTTAATTAAATATTTTGTATTGTTTTTTACTTACTATTCTTATATTTAAATTAGTGCTGAGTTAGTTTTACGGTGTATGTATGTACATGAAGCGAATTAAATCTAGAATTTTTGTGACTTTTATATGATTACCGATTTAATAAAGATCCACGGTTATATGGCACTTTAAAACGTAATTTCAAAAAATTTAAGAAACGAAGAAAAGAAAGAAGAAAAAGAAGAAAAGAAAGAATGCTGTATTGTACCACTCGTACACATTTCATGGGAGCTTTGGACGTCGCTATCAATCAACATACTAATAACTAACAGTGTAAAGTTACATTTTTACAATATAATCAACTAAGATCTTGAGTAATTGATCGATGGGTTGGTTACGACAGAGGGGTTGGGTAGTCTTTTCACTGTACACAAGTTGCGTAACTTAATAGATAAAAGTTAGGAGCAACTTTACGGCACTATAAGGCATCGCCATCGAACGTTGAAGTGTTTCAATTTAATTAGTCTTCAAATTACGGCAATTTTCAAAGGGTAAGTTCAAACAAAATTGTATAGTAAATTGTTAATATCGTAATAAACACTTTGCGCTTTGTAATAAAGCTTCGTTGACATGAATGAAGCTAATTGAAGCCTGTTTGAGCAGACTACTAAGTCACGCTAACTGATGATTGACTATTTTTGTCAGCTTAAAGCTTTGCATGAGCTTTTAGCTTTACGTCGTTCCCTTGTTTTTGAAGATTACATTTTTATGTTAAAAAACGAAGATTCAATTATTTATTTATACGTTGAAGTGTGTATGTTATGTAGAGCTTTTATTTTACATCTATAATATTACATGTACTCGTAAGAGTAAATAACAACAAAAACTCTACTCGTAGCGTTGTAAATAAAGTACTTAAATTGAAAACAAGCGGTGTTTCAACTTTTTGTTTTTTATTTAAAGGCATTGTCGTGACGAAGTTTTAATTCTCAAAGTTTAAATACGTATTAAAAACGCTTTTACAAAATGTATTACGCTATAAATGAAAGTATAACTGGGCCATGGTCAATACATTGACTTTCCAAGGTAAAACATCGTGATTATAAAAGGGGCTTATCCCCTTTATTCTCTATGCTTTTTAAAACAGATACAAGACTGAAAAATAATAAAAATAAACGTTGTGATTACTTTTTATAACAGTTCCAAATTTAAATAACAAAATAAACGATTAAGGGCCTGCCCATAACTGGCTGATAGAGGCTCAGATAGCTTAAAAATGACGTCGTTGTCAAATAAGGGTATAATCCGATATTTCTCTCACATATTTTACACGTTCGATTGTAATCAGACAATGTACAATTTGGTGGGACATGCCCTTAATAATCTCCATGTGACGCTGTGTTAGCCTTACAAACAGACAAAAAGGTATATAAAAACATGGTTAATTTTATTATTACAATTAGCAAAGGGATGTTTTTTGTAAACGTGAAAATTTTCATTAACAATTTCTGTGTCAGGAAGGGTTCACTGTCGACATATGGATATAATTAATGCGTTAATTAATCAGTTCCACAAGTGTTGCCATACTTAATGTCTATTTAATATGTCATTAGCAATACCGCGTTGTGCAACGGTCAATCCTCGGCGGTATTTCCAATCCAATACGACTTAGGGTCCTTCAAGAAGCGAGCTTATCGTTTCCTCAAAGGCCGGCAACGCATCTGTGGTTGCTCTGGTGTTGCGGATGTCCATGGGCGTCGTTGACCACCTCGGTGATCTCGCCGCTCGTTTGCCCCCTTTTATAAAAAAATAAAACATATATATATTATATAATTAATTATATATATTATATACTACAAAAGTTAGGCGTAAATAACTAACGGCCATGCACTGAAACGAATAGTTAACACTTCGCTTCGTACGTGCCGCTTATAATCTGACAGGAGTCAAAATATATACTGTACTTGGAGTTTAAATATGAGCCTATCGTTCAAGACGCTGTTATGCTAATACTCGTATATAAAGAAGAAAGATTTGATTTTTGGAGTTTTGTTTGTATAGAAACAGCTCAAAAACTACTGGAACGATTTCAAAAATTTTTGCCCCCATTAAAAGCTACGTTATCACTGAGTGGCATAGAGAATATTTTTAGTATTTACTTTTAATTTCACGCGGATGAAGTCGCGAGCAATTTAATGTTGTTTCAATATCTCGTTAGTTACTTTTTCTCTTTCTAATAGATCATCAGGAAATCAATAAGTTATACCTTAAGTTAATACCTGACATTTTATATTTTATGTACGAGATTTTGTACGTAATTACTCACATGTAGTGTTAAATTATTGAATTAAATTGCTACGAGCATTTTTAATTTAATAGTCTTTGACATCGTTCCATTCCACAGTTCACCTGAACGGCCTTACTTAATGATCTCGTAAAAAACGAACCCCGAGCCCAAGATTTAATTCCTTTTCCAATTTTAAATATACGTATAAGCTTAAATCCAATTCCTAAGAGATAAATGAGAGTAAAGATGAGGATAAAAATTAATTGCATGTGAAGATATTCTTTTATTTTATGTCGATTACACAAAAATGGAACATGTAACAAAAGAATGAAATCATGTTTAATAGTTAAGTAGTTTTCTATTATTTTTACTTGATTAATAAAACTATGTTTTGCTAACCATGCGTATGCCTATAAAATACAAATCTAAATGAAGCGCATACCATGTATGGTCCATACATGCCCAGTAGGCATAAGTCAAATTATATTATAACTGCTCACTAGCAATCTCTTTCACATTTCATCTATGTGATTGTTTTTCTTTTATGACATTTTCTGTCATGTAGGTGCACATATTTCCTGATAGAGCTAACCTCAACAGTGGCAGCTCTAACCGGCGTCGTTGACCACCTTTGTGTTCCCGCCGCTCGTTTGCCCCCTTCTCGTATAAAAAAAAATATCTTTGTCTATACGTATATTATACTCAAAACTATCAAAATTTACGTAAAGTAAGAAATATGTAGTTATATTATAAATATAGTTGGAGACTAAAACCTGATTTTAAACTTCGCAAGAGGATTTAAAAAGAGGCGTTCGGTTGAAACAATAAATTGTGTTGTGAAGCTGGTTGTAAAT